AAAATAAACACATAGATAACAGTATGGACTTGGGATGCAGGTGGGAAGCTCCAGAGTTCAGGTGAGGGCAGGCAGYCCAGTGAGGTAGTGTTCCATGTGGAATGCTGACCAGGTGCCCGCAGGGATCTGYACCTGGCTCAACTCCAGAGAAGCTTCTGGTGCAGCTGCTGAAGTCACAGGAAGATAGGACCTGCCAGGAGCTGGGGTGAGCCCGTGAGGCCAGGGGCCTTGTAGATGRCATGGGCGCTGCAGCAATGCTGTTCCCTCAGGGGATAGGACCAGTCCTCAGGACTCTGCCAGTGACTCTCTGCCTGGCTGGCCAGCCCCTCCTGACCCCTCCTGCATCATGGCCTCTCAGCATGAGGTTCCTCTACAGTTTTCTGCCAGACTTCAGCTAGCTGCCCTGGTTACTCTCTCCTGGCCAGTTCAGCACAGCTCTGCCCTGCCCTCAGTGGGGTTTTCCAGGCCAGTGGGTCAATGCGCCACAACAGAGGGGCTTAGCCACTGACCTCAATCCTCTCACAGAGTGGAGGCTGCAGTCTCAGATTTGGTGTATCCAAAGTGGGATCCTTCTGAGGGACTGGGAGGAAATGCTGTTCCAGGCCTCTCTCCCAGCTTGTAGAGGGCCATCTTCCGGTTCACTTGGCATCAGGGATTTGTGCCCAAATTTCCAATTTTAATTTCTTTTTTTTTTTTTTTTTAAGAGAGAGTGAGAGAGGAGAGAGAGAGAGAGAGAGAGAATTTTTAATATTTATTTTTTAGTTCTCGGCGGACACAACATCTTCGTTGGTATGTGGTGCTGAGGATCGAACCCGGGCCGCACGCATGCCAGGCGAGCGCGCTACCGCTGAGCCACATCTCCAGCCCTTAATTTCTTTTTATTTATTATTTTTTGGTACTGGGGATTGAACTCAGGGGCACTCGACCACCCTTTTTGTATTTTATTTAGAGACAGGGTCTCACTGAGTTGCTAAGTGCCTCGCTGTTGCTGAGCCTGGCTTTGAACTCGCAATCCTCCTGTCTCAGCCTCCTGAGTCACTGGGATTACAGGCGTGTGCCACTGTGTCCAGCTAAATTTCCAATTTTTATAAGGACACCAGTCCTAATGGATTAAGGCCCACACTAATGGTCTTATTACTTGGTAACCTTATTAATTGGTAACCTTTGCAAAGACCCTCTCCACATGAGAGTACATTCTAAAGTCCTGGGGTTTAGGACTCCAATATATGAATTTGAGGGGGATGCAGTGGATCCCAAAATACCCTTGAAAGGAACTTGAGACAACCTCTGTAGCTCACAGAGGATGTGTGAGACGTTCCCCTGTGCTCACTAGACTAGTTGTCTGTCACCTGCTGCTGCTGAGGAGCCCACAGCACTGTCTGGAACCCCCTTTGCACGCCCAGGAAGGCCAAAACCTCCCCTGAGCCTTCTTTGAGTTCTAGAGAGAGAGRGAGAAGGGAGCTGCTCCTACTTTAGCTGAAGCCTCTCCTCTGGGTGTCACCTCCAGAAGATGGTCTGCCCCATACCATGAATGCCTCCATGGCTGCCCCTAGGGCTCCCATCCACAGCAGACTCTCTGGTTTTGTGTTTTGTTTTGTTTTTTAATATATATATATATATAGTAGATGGACACAATACCTTTATTTTATTTATTTATTTTTATGTGGTGCTGAGGATTGAACCCAGAGCCCTACACATGCAAGCAAGAGCTCTACCACCAAGCTGCAATCCCAGCCCAGATGCTCTGTTTTTAAAACTTTATTGAGATAGAATTCACATGCAATAAATACAGTTAATCCATTAAAATGCACAAGTCAATACACAGAACTGGGAAATCATTACAATGTATTTTAGAACATTTCTATTATCTTAAAAAGAAATTCTGGCCGGGTATGGTGGTGCATGCCTGTGATACCAGTGGCTCAGGAGGCTGAGGCAGGCGGATCGCCTCAGCAATGGCAAGGCACTAAGCATCTCAGTGAGACCCTGTCTCTAAATTWAAAAAAAAAAAAAATAGGGCTGGGAATGTAGCTCAGTGGTCTAGTGCCCCTGAGTTCAATCCCTGGTACAAGGAAAAAAAAAGAAGGAGAAGGAGAAGGAGAGGAGAAGGGGAAGGGGAAGGAAAGAAATTAATTCTGCCAGGCACTGTGGCACACACCTGTAATCCCAGGGACTCCAGAGGCTGAGGCAGGAAGATTGCAAGTTCAAAGCCAGCCTCAGCAATTTAGCAAAGCCCTGTCTCAAAATAGAAAATAAAAAGGGCTAGGGAAGTGGCTCAGTGCTCTAGCGCCCCTGGGTTAAACCCCAGGTACAAAAAAAWTTTTTTTTCCACTAGAGGTGTAGCTCAGTGATAGAGCACTTGCCTAGCATTCATGAGACCCTGGGTTCCACCCCTAGTACCACAAAAAGGAAAAAAAATAAATAAATCTGTCCCCTGAACCATTACTTCCAAATAGCTATCTCCCCATCCCCCAATATCTTCTATCAATCAATTATTCATTTTCTGTCTATAGATTTGCTTGTTCTAGACATTCATATGCATAGAATCATACAATATGTAGCCTTTTGTGTGTGGCTGCTTTAACCAAGCATCAGATTTTCAAGGTCTTATCTATATTGTAGCCTGAATCAATGCTTCACTCATTTTTAATGCTGAATGACATTCCATTCTGTGAGGAGTAAACCCAGGGGTGCTCTACCACTGAACTAAATCCCCCAGCCCTTTTTATTTTTGAGACAGAGTCTCACTAAGTTGGCTGGCCTGGAACTTGTGATCTTCCTGCCTCAGATTCCCCAACTGCTGGGATTACASACATGTACCACTGCTCCTGGCTCCTTTGCCCCCCACTTTTTTTTGTACCCAGGGGTACTTAACCACTGAGGCACATCCCTAGTCTTTTTTTTTTTGGTAGTTGTAGATGGACAGCCTGCCTTTATTTTGCTTATTTTTGTATGCGGTGCTAAAAATTGCGCCCAGTGCCTCAAGTGTGGCAAGAGCTCTGCCACTGAACCACAGCCCTAGTCCAGCCCTTTTTTCCTTTTTTTAATTATTATTTTGAGACAGGGTCTTGCTAAGTTGCTTAGAGCCTCGCTAAGTTGCTGAGACTGGCTTTGAATTTGTGATCTCCTGCCTCAGCCTCTTGAGCCACTGGGATTACAGGTATGTGCCATCWTGCATGGCTTTCCGTTGCCCATTTTTAATTGGGTTCTTTATATTTATCGATACAAGTTGCTTATCAGATATATGAATTGCAAATATTCTCTCCCATGCTATGGGTTGTCTTTCTAAGTTCTTTATGGTGTCCTTTGAAGCATGAAAGGTTTTAATTTTGGTATTAGGACTGTATCATTTTGAAAATACAAGTAATCATTTTGATATGACATTTTTATGTAGTGGACTTGAGTATTTGCAGCTGAAGAAGTTTGCATGTAGTCTTGAAAACATCTCAGTTGCACAGGGGCCTTCTTTCCTCTGGCTCCTCCTCAACCAACTTTCAGGCATCCATCTGAGCTTCCTCCTCCCACGTTTCCTACTTCAATAACGCCCTGTTCCCATCAACCATTGATCCCAACTTTTTCTGTAAAACAGTGATTGATTCAAATCTGCCTAGTTTCTGCCACCAACTACACCTCAGGTCCATCAGTGCTCAGAAGAAATGAAGGGCTTTCTCTTCTCTCTCTCTTCTTCTTCTTTTTTTTTGGTACTGAGGATTAAACCCAGGGGCACTCAACCACTGAGTCACATCCCCAGTCCTTTTTATATTTTATTTAGAGACAGGGTCTCACTGAGTTGCTTAGAGCCTTGCTAAATCACTGAGGCTGGCTTTGAACTTGGGATCCTCCTGCTTCAGCCTTCTGAGCTGCTGTGATTACAGGCGTGCACCACTGCGCCCAGCTCTCCTTATTATTTTTATTCTCCTCCTGAATGTGGATCCCTGTTTCCCTCTCCTACTTGGCTAGTTCTTGTCCTCATGCTAGTCTGGGTGTCAGGAACAACTGGGGACAACTTCCCATTAAAGCTAAATGCCATCACAAAGTGACCCACTAGTGACTCCACCTATGGGGAGTGGACACCTCTCAACCAGCCTGGCTCTATAGGCAATATGGAGAGTGGTCCCTGGGAGGAAGGACTTGGAAGGGACATAGCCATGCCATGAGAGCTAGCCTCCTTGACCATCAGGGTGCAATCACCCACAAGCTTGTTAAAATACAGATGCCTGACCTCACTCCCAGAATGAGGATTCAGAGTGAGGGAATGGGATCCACATATCTAAATTCTCATCTGGTGATTCTGATATGGACTATTCCAGGAGCCTAGTTCCAGAGACAGTGATGAAGGTCTTGAGTCTTTGGGGAATTTGGATGAAAGAGGAATCCTGGATTTCATCTACTCTTTAGCCTAGGACTAGGGCCTCCAGGAGTGCTGAGAAGGTATTGAGGGGACTTGAAAGAGGGATCTGTCCATGTCTTCCCAGCAGCAGGGGCCACCTGGAACCAAATTGTGCTAGATGAAGCTCCAGTCACTCCTGCAGGGCAGGAGAGGATGTTCAGGATAGGAGGGTGTCTATTTGAATGGGGGAAGTCCTGGGGTTAGGGTGGTGTCCAGGCTGTGTGGCCTGGGGTCAGGACAACTAGAAAGGAGGTTAATGGGGACAGAGGTGGGGAGTACCATCCATGTGGCCACTGATGGCACTCAGGATATGAGGCACGGATCTGCAAGGAGATCTCCAGGCTTGGTCTGGGCCCCCCATCATGATTGCAGTGGGACAATGTGGCACCAGGTCAGGTGAGAAGATTCAAGGAAACTGGGCAGCTGTGTGTGGGAGGCCAGACACTGCTGCCTGCGTGGTGGGGGACAGAGATTCCAAGGACTGAGTTCCAAGAAAGCCAGGCTGTTCTGGGGAAAGGAAAGTCCTACTGGGGCAGCGTGTGGCCGAGATGTAGGCCAAGCTGTCCCCTCCCTATGACCGCAAGGGGGGCCGCAGAGTACCTCATCCTGTAAGTGTACAGTCCCCGTGCTTAGCTCTGCCTCTCGCCCCCTCCCCGCCCCCATTGCCTCGGCATCCCGCCCCTTCCTGAGTCTGCACCGTCTCAGGCGGCTGCTCTTGCAGGTGCCCACGGAGCACGGAGGTCACCGCGCACTGGTGCCCATTGGCGGCGGGTGCCACCCAGAGAGCACTGGAGGTAAAGTCCAGGCAGCAGCCGGACCTCCCCAGGGAATCTGTCCAGTTCTGTGCTGGAGGGAGCTACGCAGAGGGGACAGACTCACAGCCCCACGCAAGGTCCAGCAGAGACTCCGGCCCTGCTCGGTGTAGGGCGCTGTTCCGCTCAGGAGGTCCCTGCCCTCAGCAGAAGAGGACGCCCGCCAGCAGGGGCAGGAGGGACACCAGGAGCAGCGCGGGCGGCCTCTCGGAGGCCTGGTTGAGCTCGCACCGACAATCACAGGTTCCGGGCTTGGGGGTCGGTTTGCGGGGCTCAGGAGTGTGAGGGCCAAAGTCGGGGGCCGGACAGTCCAGCCACTTGGGCCCCATGGGCTGCGGGGAGTCCGGCGCGGTCTTGACGCTGCCTTTGGGAAAGCGCCAGTAGTGGGCGCCCTTGAAGAAGTAGGTGTCACCTGTGGCGGAGGAGACCTTTCAGGCGTTGGTCCAGGCCTGCCCCAAGCCGCGCCCCTCCTGCTTCACCCCGAGTCCCCCTGGGACCCGCGACCGCCAGCCCCCTCCCCTGCGTCCCCGGACCTGTGTTGCCGACAGTGACATCGTCGGGGGCGGGAGGCGCCCCTTCCCAGAGGCTCAGGTCGCGCGGGTAGCCCGGGTCCGGGCGCGAGGCCTCCTCGTCGTACCGCCAGTACTGCTGTCCCCGGATCAGGTAGGTCTTCCCGTTGAATGGCCACGAGAACGCGGCGTCTACGACCTCGCCCGGCGGCAGCCCTAACTCCTCGAGCGGCCGCGCTGCGCCCTCTAGCTGCCGCTCCCGGAACACCCAGAACTGCGGGCCTGGAGGGAGGCAGCCTGGTCACCAGCACGGTTCCGGAGCCGGTTCGGACCCGGCCACCTGGGGCCCCACTCACCGCTGAAAAGGAGGATTCGGCCGTCTCCGCGCCGAGCATAGGCGGCCTGGATGACCCTCACGTGCGAGGGCAGCCCCTCCCAGAAGCGGTGCACCCGGGCAGGTCGGGGCGACACCAGCTGTCCTGAGGGCTGGAGGCGCCAGAACCAGGGGCCTTAGGGGCAAGAAGGGGAGGGCATGGGGTCATGACATGGTAGGAGGACGCCCCGCCCCCGCCTAGAGTGTGTGGCCGAGGGAGGGCTGGGTCTTCCCACCCCACAAGGTCCCTTGCACACTACCCATCTGTCCATCTGGGGTGTCCATCTGGAAATCAAGGGCGACTCAATCTAGGGCGACGGACTCCTTTTGGCTTGCCCAGGAGTTCCCATTTTTTAGCACTAAAAATCACACTTCCCAGGAAACATTGAAGCCAGTGGTGGGGGTCACCTGAAGTGTACAGGAAGCCAACCATGGTGCCAAGGGAGTCAGGGACCAACCAAAGGGACTTACCTTTGAAAAAGAAGGTTTCACCGCGGATGTTGGCAATGGCATCAAAACTGCCCTCACATCGATCAGGGACAGGTGCCGAGGGCCTGGGTAGGAAAGGTGAGTGAGCAGAAGGCGGGCTTCTTCATCCCTTACCCTCCACCACAGTCCTGAAAGGCAGGGCTGGCTCACTGTCCCATCTCACCTAGGACACTGGGGCTAGGGAACTGGTCACCCAAGGTCACACAGCTGGTGGGGAACTCACCTGTCAGGGGGCAGGACAGAGGGCCTTGGAGGAATCAGGGGTTTCCTTGTGGGCTGGTCATTTGGGGTTTGAGGCACTTTCCCTGCAAGAAGAGTCAGACAGGTGTGGGCTCCCTGGGCCTGCTCAGAGGCCATGGGAGAGCCACAGCAGAGCGACTCAGGGCAGGTCCCTCATTGCCATACCATACAGCTGCTGCAGGCCATCACGGTCATCCTGGGACAGGCGGTACTTGTCAGGGTCACCCACTGGGCCCTGGTAGAAGGGCCTCATAATGGAGTTGGGTGCGGAGGAATGGCCCAGACCCAGGGCGTGGCCAAACTCGTGAACAGCTACAGCAAACAGGTCAGTACCCTCACCATCTGGGGAGGGGAAAGGAAGGTTGGAGCTGAGGGCACCCCACACTTGGAAAGAATGCATGGGAAGTGGGACCTGCTGGTCTGCAGGAAGCACCAAAAGACCCTTGGGAGGGGACTCCAGCCTCCTCTGCCCTGACCCCTCATTGAGCCATTACTGAATTCTTTTTTTTTTTTTATATAATATTTATTTATTTTTAGTATTTGGCGGACACAACATCTTTGAATGTGGTGCTGAGGATCGAACCCGGGCCGCACGCATGCCAGGTGAGCGTGCTACCGCTTGAGCCACATCCCCAGCCCCTGAATTCTTACTGAATTCTTTCAGCAAATATTTTTGAATTGCCCTTTGATGGTGCTGATACTGGGTACAGGGATGAAGAGACCCAAGAATGGACAGAGGAAGAGTGACCTTACACAAGTGCAGCCCCTCTCTTGAAGGGAAGACTGCTTATAGAAGCTCAGAGCAGCAAGAACCCTGGGTGCCTGTAGTTCTCTCCAGGAAAACCGTGCTTTGGAGCATTCCCTCCTCTAAGATCTAGTCCATGAGCAGAGGTCCCTGTTCCCCATCCCCAACCCAGGTCCCTCCCACTCACCTTTCATTTCCTCTGCCCCTATTCCTTGGCCCACATTCCCACATCCTCTGTCCCCCCTCTGCCATCTCCCCTGCCCACAGCTCCCCTCTCCCCTCCCCCTCCCCCTCCCTGGGGTCCCCGCCCCTCCTCTTCCTGGCCCTGTTCCATCTCCACAGGAACATGGAGCTCCCTCCAGCATGCACTCTCAGACCACAGCCTCTCTCTCAGCCTCTTCCCACCACAGAAACTTCTTCCCTGGAGATCCAGCTCCAGCGACTGAGGGCCTAGTTCCTCATCGATCTGCCTGGCTCCTGCTCCCGTCAAAGGCCCCACCCAGAAGAGGCAGTGACAGAGCCAGGCAACACATCAGTGAGCACGAATTTCTGCAGATGTTGATCTAGTTTGTGGGAATCTCTAACTAGGGCTAGCAACATTGAAAACAGCATTATTGGAAATGGCCTGGCGAAATGAAAAGCAAGTTTCTCTAAAGCCCCTGAGGGCTGATACCTAAGTATGGGAGCGGTAAATCCTAGGAGGYCTCATTTACCTCTCAAACCTCTACTTCCTATCCTCATTTTACAGAGGGGGGGATTGAGGCCAAATGCCCTGCCTGTGCACCCTCAAAACTGCAAATGTCTGACCAATTTCCACATTGACTGCAGGTCTTATTATTGTTCCAAATCCTTTTTCTGAGAAATTGGAGGAAGTTTGTTCTTTCACCTTCTTTCCTTGCTTCATCTCTACTTTGGGGACATGGGGTTTCTGAGCCAGGCACCCCTTCCTGCACCCTTCTCACGCTATGCAGCTGGGGAAATTACACAACCGTGCAGGCCTAGCCCCACCAGAGTCCTGATGGGTAGTGTGCAAGGGACCTGACACCTCCTATCATCCCTGCCCTTGTCCCAGCAAGCAACTCCTCTACTCTCTCCCCTCAGCCTCCTTTCCATGTCCACAAGGCCCCAAAGCTGCAACCCAGTCATAAGTCCCACCTTCAGATGACAGATGCTAACAAGCACACATCCTGCTTCATCAAGTCCAATGGAATCTGTGACTTGTAGTGTACCTGGGGCAGATACCCAGTCACACTGCTTTCTGCAGTCCCTCCTCAGCCACGTTCCTTAGTCAATAATCTAAACTCAGTCCAGTTCTTTAGCTCCTTTCATACCTGAACCCATTGCAGTTTTGGATCTTCCCCCACTGATGGAGTCTGCAGACACTAAGAATGTCACTTGTTTCCTGGATGACCAAATCTAATGCCCGTAATTTACTGGGTTTGTTTGCTGTAGCCCATTGCTGACCACTTCCTCCTTGACTCTTGTTCTTCATCACCTTTTGGCCTGTTCTTTCTCCATCTCTGTTAATTCCTCTTCCCCAGCCACCCACCTCTTAGCCCTGGGGCTCTCCACAGTTCTGTCCTTAACCTTTACATGCTACATTTTCTTCCTGGTAAGCTTACAAACCCCAAGGACACTAACTGTGCCCCCAGGTCCAGCTCTAATAAGGGTTGGCAGTGCTTAGAGCACCGGTCTGCACCAGACTCTGAGTAAGTAAAGGGCTGGAGGTGGATTACTCATCTAATCCACAGACCACACTGCCAGCAGGTACTGTTCCCATCCCCCATTTCTCAGTTGAGGAAATTGAGTGCAGCGTGGTTAAGTAACTCGTACACATTACAAGTGGAGGAACCCTGACTTGATTCAGCTTCAAAGCCCACCTGCTTGGGTTGTGGGTGTGGCCCAGTGGTACAGCACTTGCCTAGCATCTGAGAGGCCCTAGGTTCCATATCCAGAACCACAAAAATATATAAATAAAAAAATTTAAAAGCCCACCTGTTTAATTCTGCAGGACATTGCCTCACTGTCATGGATGCAGTCTCTGATGAGCAGTCAAGCCCTGACAGAGCCTGAGCACCAACTCCAGCTGCCCCTGCCCCACTCAGGCTCCCCCCAGCAGCTCACAGACAACCACTGGCAATGTAAGTCTGGGAAGAGCCAGCCCTGCCCCAGGCTGTTCCCACTAGAGAGCTCCAGGGGAGCAGTCTCCTCTCCAGCTGAGACCACATCCTTGCTCAGCTTCTCACCCTCTCTTCCTTCCCTTTCCCAAGTGCATGCCCCTGAGAAACTGCTTGCATAACAATTTCCATCTAGGCCTTCACTTCCAGGGAACCTGAACTAGGACAGAGGAGCCCAAGTCTAGAGCATGATTCTCAGTGCTTGTAGCATCCGCATGGAACACTGGTGCACGGCAACAGGCTCCACACCTGCACTCCTCCCACCTTGGGCCAGCCTGATGCCCTCCCCCACGTGCACTAACAGCAGCCATCCTCCAGGACCTATGCTGGATCCTGGATGTCATTACACACTCCTTGTCTCCTGGTCCCCAGGATCCAGCCAGATCTTTGCCCATCCCATCCCTCCTGGCTTCCCTCAGATCCAAACCCCCACCCCATGGCCCACCTCCATCTCTTACCTGGACCCTGCAGCAGCTTTGCCTCCCTGTCTCTCTCTACCCCCTCATACAGCCAGCAATATTTCTAGAATGCAAAATCCTTTGATGGGGCTGGGGTTGTGGCTCAGTGGTAGAGCACTTGCCTAGCATGTGTGAGACACTGTGTTTGATCCTCAGCACCACATAAAAATAAACAAATAAAGGCATTCTGTCCATTTACAACTACCAAAAAAAAAAAATTTAACAAAAATCCTTTGATAGCTTCCCACAGCCTCCAGAGCCCCACTGTCCGAATTCTTCCACTTGCTCTTGAAGGCCCGTTATGATCTACGACCCACCATTCATCCTATGCCATCTCCTTTCCAAAGCCAGAGTCTTGCCTTCTTGCCTCAGGCTATGTCTCCCCCCCCCTCCCCCTCTTCCTGAGTACCTGGCACTCTGCTAGCTCACTGGCTTTGCTTTCTCCTTGTGAGAGTCCTGTCTGCCCCCCACCCCACCCGCCCATCCATGCAGCCGTGCTTCTTGGTGCTCAGTGCATGTTTATATATATTGAATGAATGGAGTCACCCCTTCTAGGAGGCCACCTCTGWGTAGCCCTAGGCTCTAGGACTTCCTCAGCTGTGACTGCAGGCCRTTGGGTCACTGTGTGTAGTAACTGCCTATTATTCTTTTGCCTCAGCTGCTGACAGAAAGGTGGCTTAGGCTCTGTAAGCCAATCCAGCTGAGAGCTAGGCACCTGGTAGTCCTCTGCAATGGTTAATTTTATGTGTCAATTTGGCCATGCCATGATGCCCAGGGGTTTGGTCAAAACGAGTCCAGATGTTGTGAAAGTAACTTGAAGATACGACTAAGATCTACTATCAGTAAAGCAAGTCACTCCAGTTGGGGTGGTCTGTGTCCAAACAGGTCACTCCCCGTGAGCAGACTGAGGGCTTTGGGGAAAGAGTTCTGCCTCAAGACAGAAACCCAACTAAGTTTCCAGCCTGCCCTACAGATTGGCCTCGTTCACCCTACAATCCCTGGGAGCCAATTCCTTACAATAAATCTCTACACACACACATCTTCTTGGTAATTTCTCTGGAGACTCCCAACTTATACAACCTCAACTGATCAATTCATTTAAACCTCAGACATATCTTTAACTTGGGTTCCAAACTCAGAACCACAAAAATAAATTTTTTTTTATAAAAAGCCCCGCTTCATGCTGCGGGACACAGTCATCAACACAGGGTCTGACTAGCTGTCATTCCTGACAGAGCCTGGTCACCAGCCCCAGCTGCCCCTTCCCTTCTTAGGTTCCCACCAGCAGCCCAGGAACTGGGGAGAGGACCTCTCCAAAGATGGGAGGTTTTACCTTGCGACCCAAAAGTCCAGATCTCCTCATCATCAAAGTGAGTGTCCCCGGAGATTGGGTGCTCCCCAGGGAAGAAGGCATGGGCAAGGGTGCCGCCCAGCCCGTCGAAGGGGTAACTGTCCTGGTGGTAGGCCCGGGCAAAGTCGATGAGGATGTCAGCCTCCTGGTGCTGGGAATTCACCTCCTGGAACGTGAGGCCTGACTCAACACCCCAGACGGTCAGGGCATAGCTCATGAGGGTCCGCACTAMCTGAGGGTTCAGCAGGGAGCTCTGGGGGAAGGACTGTACCCTGAGGAGAGAGGAGGGGAGCAGGTGGCGATAGAGGCAAGGGCAGACATGCAAGCCTGGGACCCAGCAGGCAGGCCCAGGGGAGGGCAGGCCCCAGGACCTACCTCCAGGTCAGGATCCGCTTCCTCCACACACTGCCACTCAGAGCATAGCGGCGGCGCCGTCTAACCAGCCCCGCAGGCCCCACCAGCACGTCAGGCAGGGAGCAACGGGGCTTGCGCATGGTTTCTATAGTCCTTTTGTCTGTGGGAGACCAGGAGGGACAGGGTCAGCAGCAGGAAAGCCTACCCTAACCATGCACCAGTTATCCTTATTCATGGGGAAAGGGAGGCTCTGAGAGGTAAAGTCATCATGGGATGCTGATCCAGTCCCAAGTCCCCAGACTAGGAGAGATCTGCGACCCCTGTGCCAAGCCACTGTCCCAGGTTGGGTCTCCTGGGAACCCCCTTTTCTAGTTCAGCTCCATTCCCAGCTACCACCTCATTTTTAGGTTTTGTTTTGTTTTGTTTTGTTTTTTCTGTGCTAGGGATCAAATTCCTCATTTTCAAATTAAGGTCAATCCACATATTATTGGTTGAGGTGACAAATAAAACTTGAGAACATACAGATGCCAGACCCTGTTCTAGGCTGTTCCAAGAGTGAATGAGGCAGAATCTTCCCCTAGTTAACATTCTTAAGCTCCTTTTCCACCCCATTTAACTCCACAGAGGTCAGACATGGTGGCAAATGCCTGTAATCCCACTGATTTGGGAGGCTGAGGCAGGAGAATTGTGAGTTCAAGGGCAGCCTCAGCAATTTATTGAGGTCCTAAGCAACTTAGTGAGATCCTGTCTCTAAATAAAACGTAAAAAGGGCTGGAGACGTGACTCAGTGGTTAAGCGCCCCTGGGTGCAATCCTTACCACCTACCTCTAAAATGCATGCCCTCAATTCAACTGCTTCTGGTTACACCCCCCACTCCAGGCCATCTGGGGCTACAACTGCCTTCTTCCTGTTCTCCAGAAGCCCCACCTCCACCCTCAGCAACCAAGTTTAAAACTGCAAGTCAGACTGAGTTGTTTTTCTTCTTCAAATCCTTTTCTGGTTATTATCACTCAGAATCAAAACCCAAACATTTTTGAGTCCCTTTATTCAAGTTCTTTTTTTGATACTGGGGATTGAACCTGGGGGTGCCTTACCACAAAGCTCTATCTTATTTATTTTTTGAGACAGGGTCTCAACAAGTTGCTGAGAGTCTTGCTAAATTGCTGAGGCTGGTCTGGCTAAATCTATGGGATTACAGTCATGCACGAAGGTTTCCAATTAGACCCCTACCTAAGCCCTTCAGGTTTCTTTTACTCCAGGCACATAAAATTGTGCCTGCCCCGGGGTCTTTTCACTTGCTGAGACATTTTCTCTTACATCTTCCCTTGACTACTCTTCCTTTTTGTGGTCTTGCATCATGTGACATCTTTCAGAGGCCTAGCTGGGTGTGGCCTAGCTACTTGGGATGCTGAAGCGAGAGGACTGAAAGCTCAAGGCCAGTCTGAGCAATTTAGGAAACCTTGTCTCAGAGTTAAAAAAAAAAAAAAAAAAAAAGGTGCTGGGCATGTGGTTTAGTGGTAGAGTGTTTGCCTAGAATGCTTAAAGCTCAACATCAAAGAGGGGAAAAGTGCCAGGCAGGCGTGGTGGCACACGCCTATAATCTCAGCACCTGTAATCCCAGTGGTTTAGGAGGCTGAGACAGGAGGATCTCAAGTTCAAAGCCAGCTCAGCAAAAGTGAGGCTTTAAGCAATTCAGTGAGACTCTGTCTCTAAATAAAATATATAAAAGGGCTGGGGATGTGGCTCAGGGGTCAAGTGCCTCTGAGTTCAATCCTTAGTACAAAAAAAAAAGAAAGAAAAAAAAAGGCGGGGGAGGGGGGAGTACCCAGCTCTGGATATTAGATATTATTAGCATTTTATTTCCTTCAAAACACGATTATTTGAAACTATCTTGCACATTTATGTTCCTGATCTGCCTTTCTTCTCCCTCCAGAATGTTAGCTCCAGGAGTGCAGGGGCCTATTTCCAACAGTACTTTAACAATGGAGCCTAAAATAGAGGAAAACATAAAGAGATTCTCAGTAAAGGTGTATTGAAAGGTGAATGCCCCGCACAGTGCCACTCATCAGTAATCCTGGCTACTCAGGAGGCTGAGGCAGGAGGATTTCAAGTTCCAGTCCAGACTGGGCAACTTATCAAGACCCTGTCTTAAAATAAAAAATAGGAAGGTCTGGGGATGTAGTCCAGTGGTAAAATGCCCCGGGTTCAATCCCTCAGGGTGTTTGGGGGATGGGGGAGATAAATGCCTGAGAACCACAGAGGCTTGTGGCTGGAATTTGAGCTCAGCATCCTCATAAGCTCCTGTGATTCAAGAGCGCTGAAGTTTAAGGACTGCAGGATGATGATGGTCAGGTTAGGGGCAGAGGCAGGGCTGCAGCACTTACCCAAGCGTCCTGTCTCAGGCAGCCCAGCGAACCTCTGCATGACTTTGATGGCATCACGCAGCTTCTCAGGGCTCTGCAGCTGGGCCTGGGCAGGATCTGGTGGTGGTAAGTAGCCATAGAGTCTCAGCCAGTCCTAARATCAATAGGACGGATGAAGTCAGAAGCTCACCACCATCCTGGAAGCCCCTCCCTTCCAGAGCCAGAGCCCTCAGTTCTGGGATGCAGGCCTGTTCCACCTCCCCAAGGTTCCCACCTTCCAGCTCCAGGTTTGCCAGTCTTCATTTGGACCCAGGAATTGAGGCCCAAATCCCATTCCAGCTCCTTTCCTGACCTCCAATTCCGGGCTCCAAAACTGACAGATTCAATAATCCGGGTCCCCAGACTCCATCCCCAGTCACTCTTCGGACATTTTAATCTGGCCCCTCCATCCTCCAAACCCAAAAGTCCAGGACCTCGGCTTTCCTCTCCCAGCCTCCCTGAGGATCCCAGAGGACCGGGGACCCCGGCTCACCACGCCCAGGCTCACGTCCTGCGCCGAGGGCTCAGAGGCAGGTGCTGACCGCGCGAGCAGAAACAGCGGCGTCAGGAACCGGAGTCCCAGCGCCAGCGGCCGCATGGCGCGCTTCAGCCAGGGCAACCAGGGGGCCCGAAGGAGGCCTGACCCAGGTCACTCGGGGACCTGGGGAAGGAGGTCAGGGGCCCAGAGAGGATTTCGCGGGGTGGATAAGATGGACAGGAGGGGTTAAAGATCCTGGGAAGGATGGGAGAGGATGCAGGGCGGCGACAGCAGAGGAGCAGGGGAACAGGGTTGCACGCGGGGTGAGGGGGGGGTCCGGGTTGGGCGGAGGATCTCGAGAGGATTGAGAGGGCCCGGAGGGGGTGAATGTCCAGTGACTAGGTCAGCCGGGCTGCCGCTCGGCGTCGCATCCGGCCCGGGTTCTGAGTGGCGGCCCTCTTCTACCCTCGCGGTCCGAGGGCGGGGTGTGCCCGGGCGGGGCGGGATCACCCCCAGGAGCGGTGCCGGAAACTGCCCAATCTTCGGGCGTCCAGCGAGAAGGGGCGGACCAGGCGGTGGCCCCCCGCCCCTCGCCGGGACCCAGGGACCCTCCTCCGAGCTCTTCAAAGCGCCAAAGGAAGGCAGGATGCGCGGGTGGGGCACTCTGCGCCCCCAGGCTTCTCCTCCCTCCGCCCGGGCTGCAAGTTTCTCTTCCCAAAAGCCAACGCCAGTGGGATTCCCTGGAGGAGCTAGCTTCTGCTTTCTCAGGACCGCGAGGCCCGGGAGGGGCGACCCGGCCACCCTCCTCCGCCCGCAGCATTCCCCGGACCCGCGGCGCGCAATGGAGTGCCGGGGGGGTTTCCGGGCAGCAGGAGGCTGGGAAGACAGGTGTCCTTCCCCGCTGTGCGCCAAGCGGCTGCCGGTCCCGAATCCTTCGACCCGCCCTGGTGGCTGTGCGCATCTCTGCCTTGATGCACCGTGGTGTTGGCACCCAAGACGCCGGCGGTGCTCTGGGACCACAGTCCCTTTCCCCGGCACTAGGCACTAGGCATTTAAATCCAAAACCTCCACGCAGAAGCTCGGGTCCCTGCCGGGTGCCCGCAGCAGCGGACGAAGGAGGAGCTGGATGGGAGGCAACTGATGGTAAGACCTGGGCACCAGCAGAGCCTCCCCAAGCGCCCCGAACGCCCAGGGCTCGGGCCGGCTGTTGCAGAACCCAGAGACTTCAGGAGCCAGAGGGCTTCCAGGCCAGGGGCGGAGTCCCGAGTGAGTTTGACCGCTCAATCCCAGGAGTGGCCAGGAGGGGGGAGCCCCAAGGGGCTCCATCCGCATCTTATTTCTTTGTGTTTGCAGTACTGGATCCATCTGAACCCAGGGCCTCACACTTGCTGGGCAAGGGCCCTTCCACTGAGTTACATCCTCAGCCCCACCTACCTTTATTTATTTATTTTGGCACCAGAGATTGAACCCAGGGGGTGGTTGACCACTGAGCCACATCCTCAACCCTTTTTGTTTTATTTTTAGACAGGGTCTCCCGGAATTGCTGAGGGCCTTGCTAAATTGCTGAGGCTAGCCTCAAACTTTCGATCCTCCTGCCTCAGCTTCCGGAGTCCCTGGGATTATAGGTGTGTGCCACCACACCTTGCTCCCACCTGCATTTTAGACAAAATAGCCAGCAGGGCTGCCATGACAAAATATTACAGACTGTGTGGCTTCCACAGAAATTTATTTTCTCATGGTTCTGGAAGCTGGAAGTCCAAGACCAAGGGGCCAGCAGGGTTGGTTTTCTCTGAGACCTCCCTCCTGGGCTTGCAGAGGGCCACCCTGCTGTCTCTTTATATGGTCATCTCTCTGTGCCAGCACACTCCCTGATGGCTCTTCCTCTTGCAAGGCCACCAGTCACTGAGCCACAGGAAAGGCCTTGTTTTAACTTGATCACCCTTTATAGGCCCTGGCTCCCAATACAGTCCTGTTGTCAGTCACTGGGGTTAGAGCTTCAGTGCAAGAATTCTGAGGGAACAGGATATAGTTCATAAAGATCCTGTGTTGGCCATCAGATGACTGGCAAAAATTAAAAAACCTGCTGGTGACAGGTGTTAGCTAGGTGTGGCAAAGGTGAAATCAGCGCTCAGTGATGGGAATGTTTTGTGGTTGYTTTAGGATGGGACCAACCCTTCACCCCGAATTTGGTTCAGATTGGAGACTGGTGAGGCACATGCAGAGTTTGCTTACCTGTGCTGAGGCTTTCCAGGCCACAGGCAAGCTCTTCCACAGGTCTGGAAATGGTCTGAGAGGGGCTTTCATTGGGATGAGTGGCTGAGGCTGGGGCAAAGGTTCCCTGGAATTGGCCAGGACTTTCCAGGTTTAAAATTCCCTCCAGATTTTGGAAGAGAAGGCTTAAGGCCTCCTTGATTTGCCAGGATGTGAGCAAAGGGGAAGAGGGAGGAAGAGGCTTTGAAGTAATTAGCAGTCCCACATAAAAAAATGGAGTCCGCCGGGCGGGGGTGGCACAAGCCTGTAATTCCAGCGGCTGGGGAGGCTGAGACTGGAGGATTGCAAGTTGAAAGCCAGCCTCAGCAACAGCGAGGCACTAAGCAACTCTGTGAGACCCTATCTCTAAATAAAATACAAAATAGGGCTGGGGATGTGGCTCAGTGGTTGAATGCCCCTGAGTTCAATACATGGTACCAGGAAGAAAAAAAAAAAATGGAGTCGAACTCTTTATTACAGTGTCAAATGAAAACCTGAGCGAGGAGGGCTAGGGTTGTAGCTCAGTGGTCGAGTGCTTGCCTCACTCTTGTGAGGCCCTGAGTTTGATTCTCAGCACCTCATAAAAATAAATAAATAAAGGTTTCATGGGGCTGGGGCTGGGGCTGTAGCTCAGTGGTACAGCACCTGCCTTGCATGTGTGAGGCACTGGGTTCAATCCTAAGCCACCATAGAAAAATATATAAATAAAGATATTGTGACTATCTACAACTAAAAAAAAAATAAATAAAAATAAAGATATTATGTCCAACTACAATTAAAAAATAAATATAGAGCTGGGGATATAGCTTAGTTGAGTGCTTGCCACGAATGCACAAGGCCTCTGGGTTCAATCCCCAGCACCCATGCACACACACA